AAAAAAAAAAAAGAAAAAATCAACTAAACCTTTCATCAATAATTATGGGTTACAGCTAAAAGCTCTCCAAACTTGTAACAACAGCTGCTTTCTTACAGTTGTCCAGCACTTCAAGATGAAAACTGACTGCAATATTTAGTAGTACCTAGTGATTAAATTCTTCAGTCGCCGGACAGGCATAGTTCCAACAAGCAAACAGTAAGACAGAATCTGAATTCTCAAAGAAAAACCTAAATGCAAACAGAGTCGTTGAGCACAATCAAATGTCACCGATGGTTGCCAACAGAAAACCGCCAGGTTCACAATCCCATCAAAAAGTACGACACAATTCCTGTCCAATAGAACGAATTTACTTCTTTTTTTGGAACGTCTTTTTTTGCAACTTTTTCCTGAGTAAATTGACATTACTCGACATCTCACCACACAAAAATAAAGGTTTAAAAAAAAAAACGAACAAAATATAACGGAACTACGGTATAGCTGTACTTCCAGAGCTGTTGTTCATCAGTGGATCTGCTTCTTTTCTAACAACGGCAAAAGCAATAATAAAAACGACAATAAAAAAATTCACTGTAAATCTGAATGGCCGCAAAAATTTATTATTGACAAGAACAAACAGAAACTTAATTTTCATTATTAAATCATTGACAGCAAAAAACCTTTATCCTTTTCACACACTCCTGCATACCTACACCTCACAATTCCAACTTCACTGAGCATTATCACATAAATGTAATTTACATAATTACAGAAAAATGCACCAAAACCTTACATTATTCAACATATTTCCCAAATACTCAATTATGCATTATTCTTTACTTTCTATTTCTCTATTTCTTTATATTAAAATTATGAACTTCACCAGAAAAATATCCTTTAAAACATCATTATTTGTTAAACAAAATCTTCAAAATTGAACTTGAAACCAACAACGCGCAGAAAAATAATATATGATAAATATTAGTGCAATACATAAAACTTTAAAAAAAAACGCATTAAACAATGCATTCCATATAAAAACTTATAATAAAAATACTATTAAAAAAATTAGCGCTTCTGGTCACCTAAATCCTCAATTGAATCTTCATCAATATTAGGCCACTTTTCCGTAATAATTTCAAATAAATCATCCTTAACATCTCCCTGAACAACAATCTCATCTGCTGCAGTAACTGAAGAACCGCATGCAAAGCGACCAGCAAAAAATTTTGCAGCTGCTTTTAAATCGACATCTAAATAAAAATAAAAGATTAGTGCTATGAAACATTGTCTCAGAAATATTTGAAGAAACGTTCTCGAACTGTATTCACTTGAAGAATTGTACAGTCTACGAGAAACAAATTAATCCAATACTTTATAGATATCAAAAACGACGATACATGTCTAAAGCTGACTAGTAAGCAACATAGATCAATAATTGCCAAAAACACAAGTGAGGCTTATATACCGTATGCAGGTCAAAGAAGTAATCGTCAAAAATTATAACTTTTTAAAAATATATCCTACCCAAGCAGAAGTACATGTCCAATGAGGCAGCAAAATTCTTCGCTTCTTAATTACCAAAAGTACTACTCCTAATAAAAACCAAAAAACTGACTGTCTGTATAAGAAATAATAGTACACCCTACATCGCTCAAATCCACCTGATAATTTGTGGCAAAAATTTTTTGTGTCTATCATATTTAATTTAAGAAACGTCAATTAAACATATTTGAACTAGAACTGAATTTTTACTCTATTACTTCAACATTTTACTTTAACACGCCTACCAAAAAATTCAAGTAAAAACTTTATTAAATCTAAAACAGGTATTACCAAACGTAGCTAGTCCTTTAATGACTGTAACAGATTTATTTCTTCCTCTTAATGCTCTTTGTAAAGTAATCTTTGATGGGCCACTAACTTTTTTCTTCGAAGAAGCACTTTTTTCACTAGCAGCTTTCGACCCCTAAAAAATAACTTCGCCAGAAATCTTCTAGTCTTTGGCTTAAAATAGTCAATATTTGAGTTAGACGTGAAAACACTTACTTTACCTCCTCGTTTCTGATGTTTTTTTTCCGCATCGGCAACTTCGTCATCATTAACAATTTGAAGCTTCTCTATCTCATCAGGCAAATTCTTCTCCTGCCACTGGCGACATTTATCAGGCTTCCCGCTGTACTCGCAATATTCAAGCGGCATCGAACATTCTGAAACCTCCCTTGTCTCAGAAGTCTAATCATCCAATGAAACGCCAACAAATTTCTCCCTCCTAACTGATTCAACTCTGCTAATGAAAGAACCTCAGCCTGACTAATCTTTTAATTAAAGATCTGACCACCGCAATACTGCACCACCAACGGATACGTCACATCTGGATCTGGACCAGGCCCAAAACATGCGCGAACTTCAGACATTCGAAGGATGTTCGACAAACGTCAGTACCTGACGCTATGTTGTTTTCCAAAACCCCATTGTCCATTAAAAAAAATTAATTTGGTTGCCTACTACTTTTCAGATATCGAGTCATTCCATACTTACAGACTATGATGAGTACAGTGGTGGAAGCAGCAGGCCCTTCAATTATTTAATTCTTTCATCACAGGATCATCAAGCAAAAAACCAAGAATATCGAGAACATAAAATTTTTTTTGGAATGACAGATACCACTCCTCGAACTATTACAACAATATCACCAACAACTACAACAAAATAAAGTCTAGACAAACAAAGCCGTTCACTGAAAAACATTAGTCCAAACTGCAATACGCAGTTTGGCAATACAATAAGTTAACCCATCACTTTCATTCACAAAACCGTAAACCACAAAATAAAAGCACAAAAAATTTACTCGTGGCACGACAAAAGTCTGTAATATTTCTTTTGAGAGGCTTCATGAAAGACAAAGGAAGCAAACAAGCGGTTTAAATCACCAGGGAAGCAAAAGAGGTTATCACCAATTGCGACTAGTTGAAAACAAAGAAATTGCACGAAAGGCATTCAAATCTAAAACATCGTAACCAAGAATAAAAAAACGTCTAAAAACCAATCACTTAAAGCAAAAAAAAAAAAATCCATTTAAGACAAATTTTTTCAACCTCGAACAAACTCGAAAATAAAACTGCAGCACTTAAATAGAAAAAAATGCCGCCACAAGATGCTGCTCGAAACGTCTCTTTGAAAAACAAACGACAAAGGAACACAACAAAAGCCTTCTCTACGAACTGGCTTAGGTAATAAAAAAATTAGCAATCAAAAAATAAAAAATTACTGACATAAAAGTTTAGTAAGCATAATCATTAATGGCACGACCATGATAATTCTCAAGCAGCAATTCGAAAACAATAACAAAGAACTGCTACGAACTCACAAAAAAACAAATTAGAATCCTCTGTATTATAAACAATTATGAAATTCTTTCAAACACTTCTTTCTTGCTACCAATACTGTAAGGTTCAATCAGTATTTATGAAACTCCCATAACTGTGAGTCAACACTGACACTGCAACTCCGTGCAAGAATATCATCGCCACTTTTCAAGTCTTTGACGTCCAAACACAAGTTTGTGCCTACATGTTTCAGCAGCCCCTTCTAAAGAAATGAAAATGTAAGCAACACCTGTTTACAATCAAAAACCGTTTCAACTCAGCATAAATTGACCTCAAAAGTCCACTTGTCTTTGCTAGAAAAACAAGGAGGCATCCGTACCGCTCCCTTGCTTCCAGCCTCACGAGCAGGTAAGACAGTTGCACATGTCGTTTCACGTCTTAATTGTCCAGTTTTAGTTAGCGAAAAGACCTAAAATTAGCGATTATAAGTCTTCACTCGTTAGAAACTAAAAATGCTACCTAAAAAATGCATGTTTTACATTTCCCGCTTTAAAGTCAAAGAATATCCAGGAGCAGCTGTTTAAAAATGAAAAAGGCAAGCTCAGTATACAAACTTTTAAACCAGTCCCGTGATTTTTTAGGAACTCATAACGCAATTCACTTCCAACTCAATAATTTTAATCAGAACAAACGACGTCCTAACCAATATAGCATAACCAGTATGAAGTTTTGAAGAGAAGACCACCGGTGCAAAACGCTACGCCTTTGAAAAACTGATACATGTCAACTTAGAATGACGTTAAATCTAGGGAAGCTCATTCTCAGATGAGAAGTCCTAAGTGGTCAAATCCCGTGAGAAATCGGGCTGTGGATTACGTTGCATAAAATATAATTCCAGAGGTTAACTGGCAAACTATCGAAAAGCCGAAATGACAAAACACGACCTCGTATTTGAAAAAATTCTTTCATTTAAGCTGCAGGACTCACTTCCAGCAAATGAAAATAATACTTCACCGTTGTTGTATACTCCAATAAAACACTTCTTACTGAACACAGCTGAAGAACAAAAAAAGATGAGTGACATCTTCAAGATGACGGAATAGTCCAAGCACCTACTCCGATATATCACTTTTCTCCTAACTCTGTGTTTACCCTTGTCAGACATCAAAATAAGCTCATTTATTATTTCCAATTGCAATTTGCATCGCATAATTAACTTCTGTAATGTTCCCTTCCTCTGTACATCTTAGATGAAACCACAGACGTCCTTTTTTAGAAGTTATTCAGCGCTGGAGACCGAGGGCGACCTTGGGGCATTTTTGAGGTCCTCATCTCCGTTAGCAAATTTTTCAATTCAAATGCAGTGGCAAAATTAGAAACAATTTTCTTCACGAATACTCGAAAGCAGTCAAAATAACCACCAAGTACATTACTTGGCCCTTCTTTCAACTCTACACCTCAGAACTCAGAGATACAAATTCTAGTAGAAAAAAGCTTAACTGTCTGCCAAAGGAACAAAAATCAATCTTCAAAATGAAGTGAAAAAAAATTTCAGAACAAAGTTAATCGGTCTTTAGAGGTAGAGTAATGTTGAAAGTACTAGTGAGAAATCGTTCCAATTCAAAAAATGTTCATTTTCAAAAATGGTCATCTAGCAAACGTCAAGAACGACTAATAACCTCACACAAAGGAGACAACGAATTCAAAGGTTAAACAGTCAGCAAAACGAAACCTGTGATGAGCTCCCGCCACTCTGACAGCTGAACACGCCAAGATTTATAGTTGACTTCTCGTCCCTTTGCAAAGTATCCAAGCACAGACCAGATTTCTTATTCCTAAGCTGTAAAATCTTTTCATTACTTACCATGAATGTAATTAATGACGTACAACCAAAAAACCCAATTTAAACAACCGCAGCCTTCTCCAACAGATTTACGACCGTCAAGAAAGCCTTTTAAAAAATACCAAAACCCACTGCTCCAAAGCCCAGTACGTTCTCATCCGGGACAAACTTGTCAGGAATGATCGTGTCTAAATACCATTTGAAACTTTTGCAATTTAACTTTTTTCTTAAGGCCACTCGTTTTGAATAATCACCAACTTTTTTCTTCTGTAAAGCACAAATGCAGAAGTGAAACTTCTGACTTTGAACTAAAACCCAAGCAGATGAATCAAAATAGTTAAAAAGTTGCATGAATTTGAAGGTCTTGTCAAACGCGGTTTTCTGAACGTTTCCAATTGCAGTAACAATCAACCTTCAAGTCAGGCCTATGTAAATAATACAGTCGTTTATAATCATCCATCCAGACTTCTGCCAACCTTTTAGAGTTCGTCCCATGAACGTCTTTATTACCACCTGGGCCGGTCATATTATAAGGATGTCCAGCTCGGAAAATGTGACCAACATGAGAACACGGAATAAATTCTACGCTTCCTCCACACATCCAAACCTATAATAAAATCAATCCAATGACAGGATTCCTGAAAAGTCCAAGCAAATTTATAAAAATTAGGAGTACAGAAGCTACAGCAGAGTGTAAAATATGCACTTGCTATCATATACAATCCAAGAACATAATTCAAAATGACTGAGAACTGTACATCCCACATCAAGTAAGTCATACCATCAAACTACTGAAAGCAAAAACTGATACCCTAAATGAAAGTTCAAGGTTTTCACCACCCCAGATATCCATACCAGGATCATAAGCTCCAATATCAAAAAAATATTTCCTATCAACCGCTAAGAGACCACCAGCCATCGTTGGAGACCTAAACTGTTAACAGCTCAAGATCTTCTATAAAATTTTAAAAAAAGTTCCCATTCAGTTTTAAGAAAAGTTGTCTTTAAAGCTCAAACTAAAAAAACTAACCTAACAGGTTCTGTTTTTGTTTTCCTTCTTTTCTTTTCAGCAATGCTCACAGGGTCCCAAGTAAAGTGCAAACTCCACCAAAACCCACCAACAGACGAAACTCCTGCACTTCCGGAATAGCTCATGGTTTCAGCTGATATATGATCAATCACGGGGCACAAAACAGCCGTACGTTCCTCTTTGATCCTTGCTAACAGCGGCTCTAACCTAAAACTATTTCAATAGAAACATCTTAGAGTAGCCATTAAGAATATTCAAAGAAACATATGGTTATCAAATTAAAAGTGAAAGTAATAACTCTGTGTTTAATACTAGGAGAACTGACCATCCTTCATTCGCTTCACAATGAGAATCTAAGAAAACAACGACGTCTCCTTTCGCTGCTTCAGCGCCGGCAATTTTTGCCCTGATCAAACCATGTCTCACCGTTTTTCTTATAACTTTAACAACACCACCAAAGCGCTTAATATAATCATCTAACTTTCCTTTCAGTTCTTCTTAAATAAAAGTGCTCAACAGTTACAGAATGACAAGTGGAAAATGAATCCTGAAACAGAACATTACAAAATACCTCGTTGACTGTTATCATCCAACAGTATTACTTCTTGAAGAAGTAGAGGAGGCGATCGGTTTATCACCGAATGTACAGTACGCATTAAAGGTGTCCAAGCCTCGTCAGTAAAAATGATTACTACAGAAGCAGTTGGCAAATCCAAAGGATAGTGTATAGCTTTGCACTCAGGAAAACGAGAATCTGGCAGACTACGATCTAGCGAAATCTTGTCACTAAAAAGAAGGGTATACCATCAAACAAAATAAAATCAAAAAGATACCGTAAACCCAATTTAAGCATCAATGAACTCTCTAATCTGACAATTAGCAAAAAAAAAGCAAAATTTTAAATTGGTGCGGACACAAATTTGAAGCAGAAGTCAAGGGCACATTGAAAGTAAACTAGTGCTTCTACATCTGCTAGATAAAAAACTGGTCAGTTTTCGAAAACATAAAAAATTTCTCAAATATACAAAACTTAAAAAGTTATTAAGAACCTTAAGGCCCTTACCTAGCGACCACATTCATAAACCATTTTTTCATATCTTCTTCACCTTTTACTTTTTCCTCCCCTTCAAGAAAAACGCCGTTACCATTTTCTCCCGGCCCTTCCCTCTGTTTTGAGTAGTCAGGTCTAACATGGTCCATCCGTGGAGGATCTGGGAGAGGCCAAGTTATACCCTAAAAGTACATGGGATACTTCCACTGTTTTCAAAGATGTTAAGCACTTAAATTACTTGTAGGAAAACTCAAATTATACGCAAAGTTAATGGAAAAAAAAAACGCACTTCCTGTGGAGGCATCTGGTAGTGAAACGTGTTGTACGGATAAAAATAAATAAACAGGCCAACCAAAATCATAAGAAGTATAAAATTAAGAACATTTTCTTTCCGACGCGGCAGCAGGTACTGTAAAAAATTCATTCCACCTAGCCCCTATAAACAGCTCTGTCACTGTCAACGTATTCATTGTCGAAGTTCGCAGAGCGAAAAGTAATTTTAAACTCAGCTTCTTTTGACTAGAAACATTCATTGCACCGCTTGAAAGTCCAATAAACGACGCACCGATAAATATACTATTTTTTACGTCAACAGTTGTACCATCGACATCGAGTGGCAACTTCTCCATAGCTTCCAAATTACAGTAACTACTTTTCATTTACTAATTACAAGAATTTTTTTGAAAATTTAGCTTTGCCGAAACCACTGACAGTAAACGCGCTTGAACAATTTTTCCTTCTTCAGAATGTTCAAACAAAGATGACAACCACAGGTGGGTACTATCACTACCACTACCCCTTCAAATCACCCTAAATTGAGTTTTATCGTAATGCTACGAGAAGTTGACAGGAGTTCAGCAGACTTGTAGAACCTATGTTCCATAAAAACGCTATTAAAATTTATTTTCATTGTAATCTGTTGCGGAAGTCTGTATCTTGCACCACGAAATGTTTCTACTAGCACCTATGAAGCATCAGTTTCACGAGGTAAATGTAAAACAAAAATTGGAAAACAGTATGCCTTATTCTTTTACCTTTAACTTTAAAAAAATGCAAAATTCTGTACATCTTTCTCCTGTTTTGTACTATCATCAGCATCATAAACCATTTTTGATTCCTGCGATACTGCTGCCACTAAGTAGCGCTCACTAGAGAGCTTAATTTGGGGGAACATTTGTTTTTTTTTAATGAAATACACCTACACTCAAAGTTTAGGATATTTTTAAGCCTAACAAAAACAAAGCAGTTTTAAAAATTAGATGAATGTTCGTTGAACTGACCAAAATGTACCTGAAGACAATGTGTAATGTTTAAAAACTGATAAAAGTTGCAAGATCAGATCACAT